CAAATCCTTCACTGGGAGTTGGGTTGGGGCAACTATTCTCTGAGCCCAGAGGCCCTGCCACACATAAGCATACCTGTCTTTGCTGACTCTCTGCCCTTGAGTGCAGTTAGCAGGTATTACACCAAGAGTCTGAATCTCAACTATGAACTGGACACTACTGGGCCAGGAGTTTGGCCTCAGAGTCAACTGGTTGGAGGGATATCCATATATTTGTGAGTGCTCATTTGTAAAACAAAGAAGTCAACAGCTGCCATTTCACACCAATATTTTAAATTCAAATAATGACTCCTGTGGATGAAATAAACAATCTTCCTTTTTATTATGTTGTTTGATGATGTTCTATCCTAAACTATACCATTGTGAAAACATGTCACATCAAAGTTTGTGCTTCCTCTTTGAAGACTTGGATTCCGTGTGACTATTACATCCCTACTCTGCTTTTTTGTTTTGTTTTGTTATTTGTTTTTTTTGTTTTGTTTTGTTGTTTTTTTGAGACAGGTTCTCACTATGTAGTTGAGACTGACCTGGAACTCACTTTGTAGCCCAGGCTGGTCTTGAACTCACAGTGATCCTCCTGCCTCAGTCTCCTAAATGCTGGGATTATAGGTGTGCACCACCACGCCCAGCGATACCCCCTACTCTGATCCTCAAAGCAACTCTGGCACTTTTTCAGTCCATAAAATAATGATGCTGCAGACTGATTGATTACTTTTATTTAGAGACTGGCAATTGAATCCAGGGCCTGTTCATGTTAACCATGTGCTCTACTATTACACTACATCCCAAGTCCCCAGGTTTTAGGGAAAGATGGTTTGAACTTACTTACATGGTACATTAAGACACTGGCCACTTCCAATGGCAGATGAGTGATGTAAGTGATGGAGTAAAAGGTGGCCCAACAGGCCCCAAGGAAGGGAAACCTATTTATAGTAAGACCATAGGGTCTGGCCATTCCTGGGAGAACTGGCTCTCAAGCCAGCTGCTGAGCTTTACACATGATCTTTGGGGGGTCTGCATCAGAATGCTGCCTCCACCTCCTGGCTTTGCCATTTCACAGCTTTGTAATGTCAGGCAAATAACTTACTTGTCTTATGCCTCCATTTCTTTATAAATTAGATATAATACAGTACAGAGTGACTAGATTATGAAAGTCAAATTAGATAATCTAGGTAAAGAGTCTAGCATAAAGTCTGATCCAGATCAACTGTGCTCTAAATGTTCATTGTTGATTATATTGTAAGAATAGACTCACTATCATAGAGCCAGATGATCTGGGATCAAATCCTGGCCCCACCATTTAATAGCCCTGTGTCCTTGAAAGAGTTATTTAACCTCTCTGTGTTTCAGTTACCTAACTGGTACAATAGAGATGATACTAAGTTATTGTGATTAGTAAATGAGGCAAAGCATGTCAAGTGCTTAAAACTGCTTGGCATGTGAAAAACCAGCCACCAGATTGATGTGCTTTCCAATGGTGACTTTGAACAAGATGCACATGACCTAACTAGTGATACCAAGGGCAGTAACTAGGGTTAGCATTAATACTGGTAACAATAATAAGCAGCATTACTTTTTACTACATGTATTGCAGGTTTTCTCTGTGGTTTTCCTATCTCTTCCCTGCCCTGTTCCCTTAAATCTCACCTGACCTTCCTCAAGAGACTTACACTGACCCTAGCTAAGGACAGGCTGTGTCCTTTTGCTTACTAGGATTTATCCATCTTTTAGCATGATGCCAGGCACAGTAGTCACTCAGTAAGTATTTATTAGAGGCATGAACTACAACAGGGCTGCCATATGTTGTATAACTTAAAGGATTGTGTATGATAAGCAGGCTGTCCCTAGGATAAGGTTCTTCTAAACTTCAGCTATGTTTGTACAGCCTCCTTATGAGATTTTATGCTACTGCCTGAGTATGAATTGTTTCAGGATTATAGTTGCAGAGTGGCTCCCTAATGTATAACTATCTTAATTGTGTTACCAAGACACCCTGGCCTCTAGAGGTGATAATCTGAAATAATCAGAATATTTACCCATATTTATATGTTAACCACTGAAATCCAGTGATTTTTAAATTAAAATGTAAATTGATATATAAAACACAAAAATTGTACACACTAACAGGGATATTTCAATATATGCATACATCATGCAATGCTTATATCAATTTTAATGTATCTATTTCCTTATGGGGAAAACATTCAAAATCCTTTCTTTTAGCTTTCTGAAACATACACTATATTATTGTTATCTATAGGCAACTTACTGTACAATAGCACACTAGAACTTTTTGCTCTTAATCCAACCGCAACTTAGGACCCATTAACAACCTTTCCCTATTCTTCCCACAGCCTCTTTCTTAGCTTCCATATAAGTGAAACTGTGTGGTCCTTGTTTTTGTGGGTCTGGATTGCTTCACTTAAGATTATTGTCTCCAGTTCCATCCACATTAATACAGATGACAGGATTTCTTCCTCCTCCTCCTCCTCCTCCTCCTCATGGCTGAATAGTATCCCTTTGTGTATATGTGCCACACTTTCTTTATCCATTCATCAGTGAATGAACACTTACGTGGTTTCTATTTCTTGGCTATTGTAAACAGTGCTGCAGTTAATAGGCATTCAATAAATGTGTTATCCAGTGAAATTATCCTTTGGAGCTATTTCCAAGGTTTTTATATCTCTGGCAATGCACTTTAGTAATACGTGAGATGGGAGAGCAGTGCCTTTCTTTTGTAGCATAGGATAAGGAAGACGGAAAGGGGAGAGGTAGAAGATAAATAATCTAGAGCCTTAAGTGTTCTGATACAAGACAATTTTAAGGAGTTGTTAAGAGGAAAGTTGGAGACACACAATTGAACACTTCAATGCCCAATACCCCTTTCAAAGTCTCCATATGTCTTATTGGGTACACTATTCTAGTTTGAAGACTTTGGCCTTTATCTCATTAATCAGAGATGTGGTGTTATTGTTTTAATGAAGAGAAGGTGTGCTGGCATCTGGAAGAGCCAAGAGAAAAGTTTCCTTGGATTTTAATCACCCCAGGCTGGAAGCTTCCCAAACCAGGATCAACCTAAAAAGAAATGTTGGAAGAAAAATTCATGCTTTAATTCAATCCCACGGAAGAAAAACTTGTAAAGCAGCTATGTGGAAGGGCATGGTTATCTCAACTTTATATCAAGCATTAAGGGAGCCAACACCAGGAGAAATACATTGAAATTACATTAACTCTCCAAGTCAAGATACTTAAGGACACACACAGAGATTCATACCTATTAATTGAGTAACACATTCAGATATTCATGGAACGGCCAACATGTGCCGGGCAAGGTGTTGGATATTGGATATAGCAACAAATTATACTGAAGCAACTCATCTTCACACACTTCGGACTTGAAGCCAAAGTAGCCATTGTTCTAGGTGCTGTACTAAAATATATTTTTAAAAAGTTATATTTTGGCCACAAAAGGAAACCTCATGAATTGGGTTGGGGAGGAAGAAATGACACAAAAACATTAAAGTCTACTACTTCCTGTTTTTCTAGTTAAATACTATTTATCAAGCTAAATTACCCAGAATCCACTACATAGTGAATGTCTCAAATGATTCCAAATCTACTGCTTGGAAGCTAGGACAGGCTGGATTCAATTTTCAGTTTTCACAGGGTACACATAACTAATTCCTGTTCATCTTTTTATGTGAAATAGCTTCATAGCCTAAGCTTGTCTTTCTTAACCATCCTCTTCCTTTTCTCTGATCTCCAGCTACAACAACACAGGATCCTAAAAAACCAGCTCTCACTGGCCTTTCAAAAGCTTGCGTGAGTTGTCTTTCCATCTTCTTAATACAGACACACACACACACACACACACACACACACACACACACACACACAGTTTAGGAAGACTGAAAAACCTGAAGGCGTATTTTCCATAGCACTTCAGCTCATGGTAATAACTTTAATATAAATGTTGACTCATAGGAAAACAGTAGCCAACTGGAACTGTAGCTTCGAAATGCAGCACAAAGCAAGAGTTGGTCCACAGACACCAGTTCCTTCTGTGAGCTGCCACAGCAGCTCATCCTTACCTTCAGGTTGCAGAATCAGAAAAAATGGTTTAAAGGAGTTCCAATTAAGGTGCCATTTCTGACAGTGATGATGAACCCAAGTCCAGCTCAGAAGTGTCGGACAGGTGCAAGTCTCTCCTCAGTGTGCAAGAGAAAAACCACTGCCACGTCTCCTCTCAAGCCACCCTCAAAATGCTTAGCATAGTTTCTGCTCCTATGGCTTCCCACCCCCTCGCCAGGGTATGTGTCACTAAACCTTCAAGAACAGACACAGGATGATTAGAAGCTTTCAAGATAATCACCTCTTCCTGTTTCATCCTCTGCCAAGAGCTCCCCTTCCTTAATTTGGTCACAAGTGGTTTCCTTTAAAAGGGCTATTCAACTTTTAGAAAACCCACAAGAAAATGGAAAAATGCATACCCCACAGAAAATTGGGTATATGACTAATAAATTTCCTTGTCCTCTTATCTTCAGTGTCTCTGCCGTGGGGCAGGGGGTGGGGGTGGGGTGTGAGGAGAAAGAGTCAGAAACAAAATGAAAAGTCTGAAATCTTCTAGTAGGTTTTTTGGACCAGTCAGCTCTTTGTCAGAAAGAGAAAAGGGGAGGAGGCAGGCAGACCAGAGGGAAGGTTAATAACTCAGCACTCCCCCCCAATCCTCCCCACATACAAAAAGGTTACTTACAGGTTACACAAGGAACATGAGCCTCAGAACCAGTTGGCTCTGACTCCCTGCCCTGCCACTTCTCATGTGACAGGGAAGTTTCACTCATAATTCCTCATCTTACACATAAAATGGCAGAAGGACAATACCCTACATTTCGTAAATGTTAAATCAATACCGGTGAAAGGTTTTTGTCTTAGCCCATTTTCTATTGCTCTAACAAAGTACTCAACACTGGGTAAGTGACAAATAATGAAGTTTATTTTGGCTCACAGTTCTGGAGGAGGGAAAGTCTAAGAATACGGTGGCAGCATTTGCTCAGCTTTTGATGAAGGCCTTGAGCTGCAACACAAAAAGAAAGAAGTAAGCTTCCAGTTCGGAGGAAACTCATTCCTCAAGACCTATTCTAGTCTCCAGAGAATCAAGTCTCTTCAGGAATGTAATTCTGTTTGGGGGGACAATCCCCATAATCTCATTTTCTTCCAGTAGGCCAGACCTCATAAGTTCCCCAACCTTGCAATACCATGACATTGGGGACCAGGCTTTCAGTAGACGAAGTTTTGAGTGATAAATCATATCCAAATGGTAGATAGTGCGTAATAACAATTATACCAGGTAGTTTTATTCATGATTTATTATGTGTGAGGAATTTGAAAGAATTTTAATTTGCTTATCAGTTCTGTGAGCCACAAACTATCATTATTCCTGTTTTAATGAGTAGAAACCTGTGGAAAAAAGAGGTGTAAATATCTTGTCCAAAGCCACCTGGATACCAAGAGACTCTGTCTATGCTTACAAGACAGCAGGCTTGGAACAGGGCTGTCCAGCATGCCTTCCTGCAATAGTGGAAATGTTCTATAATCCACGCTGTCCAACAAGGTAGCCAATAGCTATGTGAGGTGGTGAGTACTTTATTGACTTTACAGATGGGTCTATGTGGCCTAGGCTAGCCTGGAACTCTGAGCTTAAGCAATCCTCATACTTCAGCCTTCCGTGCCCAACTTTGTTGAGCACTTGAATGTGCCTAGTGCAACTAAGGAGCTAAATTTTAATTTTAATGAATTTTAAACTACCCACATGAGGTTAGTTGCTGTCACTTCAGATAGCCCGGTTGAACTACTAAAGATTAGGCACACCCAAAGTACACAAGAGACTTCAAAAGAAACAATAATAAAGTTCTACTTCTTTATATATGTATTTGCAATGCAGGAATGGATTATTATCTCATTACTAGTAGTATAACATTGCCCTATTATTTTCTAGTTGCCTTCTACCCATGTGGCAAACATTTTTGTAATCACAAAAATAGTACTTTATTTCTAAAGAGCCAATCAGAAGCATATAAACTTTTAAACGAAAATTCCTCTCCCCATAACTCCTACCCTTATATTAATCCCTTTCAGACCATAACACACAAATTCTATGTACATAAGTTCACTTAGAGGGATAAAAAAGGGGTCAATAAGTTTACTGAGATCCTACATCATGTTCACTTTCCATACTGTGCACATCTCATTCTTTGCTAGTACCCATTTCATTCTATGGCTGAATTATCATTTATTTACTGACCCTTTATTGGTAGACATCTTATTTTATTTATTTGCCTGTAAATACTGCAGAGTGTACAATCACTGTGGAGTTGTTTCATAAGATTTCTCCCTAAAAGTAGTTCAGCACACACTGTTTGCTTGTGTACCCACAAAACATTTGCTTATCTCTTCTTTGCTAATAGAATTGACTTGGTTCAGGGTCTACCCCAACTCCTCAGGACTGGGACTCAAGTCCAGATTGGTCTAAGCAAGTCAGATGATCCAATTTCCACTGGCAGTGATTGGTTAATGTGTGAGTATCCAACTCAATTCTGCCCAATGGAGAATAGCACAAAGTAGCTTGAAGTCTTGAAAACAAGGGGCACAGAAACATTGTGAGAACATCATGCTGGGAGTTGCTTCATCTTTCACATAGCTTTGAGAGAACCCAGTCTGAAAAAGAGGTAACGAAACTGAGGATGACAGAGAGCTGAGAGATAAGAACTCAGATTCTTAAAGCACTGCTGAGCTGCTGAGTTAACCAACCCTGGGGTTTCCCTACCTCTAGACTTCTTGAAAAGTAAGTTAGTTTTCCATTCAGCCCAAGTTGTGTTTGAGTTTATATTACCATAAAACCAAGATTGTTCCAACCAGTACAAATAGAATTGTTGGTTCAGAGGGAATGTGAAGATTTTATTGTGGTTGGTGTCCCTAGGTCAATTCTGTTTAGCTTTCTAGCATGATGCAGAATGGGTCTCAAGGGCTTGGACGCATCTTCTAGCCTCAGAAATGGCAGGTTTGTTGCTTCATCAGATGATGTAGATTTGTTTTTGTTTTATTTTTTATTGAGTTTATTGGTACTTTTTAGGTATACAGTACAGTTACATTCATCATTGGGATCTTGTACCTCTACATGGCTTATCTCGGTTCTTATTTTTTCCCTATACACTTGCCTTCCCTCCACCCCCTCCACCCTTCCCTATTTGCAAAGACTTTGTTTCCATTTTTTCCTTTTCTCATTTCTTCTCCCTTATTTCCTTTCCCCTACCCTTCCCACTTCCCCCACTCCTTTAGCCCTTTTCTTCCTATTTCTCATTATGTTATACAATTTGAACCCTATTTATACTTGTAGTTTTTCACATCAGAGAAACTGTTTGGTATTTACAGGTGTGTCCTACTTATTTCACTTAAAAGAGTATGGCCTCAATATGCATCCATTTTGCTAGAAACTACTCATTTCTCATTCTTTATGCCTGAGTAGTACTCCATTTTATAGAAAGACCATATCTTCTCAATCCCGTCTCCAGGTGATGGTCAATCGGGCTGTTTCCAATTTTGGCTATTACAAACTGTGCCACTATAAACATGGGTGTATATATATTGCTGTGGAATGATTCTTTTAATTCCTTTGAAAGATACTCAGTAGAGGGATAGCTGGGTCAAATGGGACCTCCAGCCCTAGTTTTTTGAGGTTGCATGATGTATATTTGAATGGCTCCTCCATCAGTATCCCCTGTGTGTTGATACACACAGATGCTGCTGCATTAAATATAAACCCAGAAGTCCAGCTGGAATAAAGATGGAGATCTGTCAGCGGTGTGCTTCCTAGCCTTTTTCATGTCACATTACACATAGAAAATTACATTTTAGGCTACATTGGGATACAGATAATGGTACTCAAAGCCAATAATTCTCAGCTGAAGGATTCCAGGTGTCTTAGGTTGTCCACAGCCTCCCAGAAGATAGCCAAGAACAAGTCTTTACCCAACCTGAAAATCCACTCATGGCACACTGATGAGGTCTGCTGTAAAAAACATTCTCATATTTCAGAGATTCTAAGCAACACATTTTCCCCACATTTTAACATCTCTGAAATTAGGACACATCTTATAACCAATATTTTATAAATGCTGTCAGCATGTGGAATGGTGTCACTGACATTTTCCATTTGCAGAAAATCACTCTGATAATCTTTTGCTGGTATCTTCTGGAGAAGTCAAGAAAATCCCAGTATCGTGGAGTGTTATTGTTGAAGGGGTACAGGATTTCAGTTTGATGTGACAAAAAAGACCTGGAGATAGATGATGATGATGGTTGCACATACATCATGCAACCATACTTAATGCCACTGAAGCATACATGTAAAGATGGTTAGAGTTAAATTTTATGCTGTGTATATTTAAAATTTGTTTCAAACTTTGCAGGCATACCAGTGGCTTGTATGCAGAGACAACAGCAGAGCATCTGCTAAGAAACACTGCCTGGACTGGTGTCCCTGATGGCATAGAAGATAACACTATGTGAGAAAAAAATGGACATTGAGGACTTTGAAGATGGTTTTAGGAATATTTCTTTTTTTACTTTTGGTACTGGGGATCGATCTTGGGACCTTGTGCTTGCAAAGCAGGTGGCAGAACCACTGAACTAATTTTCCAGAAGGAATATTTCAGTCAGATGATTTCTCATACCATCCTTTTTGTGTATGCACAGAAGTGGCAGGACATCTCCCCAAAAATCTATCCTGGCAATTCTCTATTTGATGCTCCTGAGCCATTCTCTGCCTTCACCTCCTGTCTTTGGCTGACTTCAAGGACTGTACCCACAGGGTTCCTCCAGCTTCCAGTTAAACTGGTTTCAGCCAATGGGAAGCAATGGCAGAAGACCGGTGAAGAGGAGAGTGAAGAGTGCTGGGTTAGCATTGGCTGTATTCCTCCCCAAACGCATAGATCTGGTTGGGCAACTGGCTCCTATAGCCTCGGCTCCCCAGGATCCAGTCTCTCCTTTCACCCCTGGAGGGCTAAGCAGGATAGCAGCTCCCACTCTTGCCAGCACCAGAGTCCTTCAGTCTTCCTTGTTGGTGTCAAACTCAAGTCTGCCCCAACCCTTGGTAATATTCCTATTCACAATCCTATTAGGCCCCAACCCCCATGTATACTTTGGGTATATTTTGGCAATGGCTGACTTTTTAGATTTGATTAGAGGATAAAATTTCCAGTATATGCCATAAAAGGTTAAAGATATTTCTAATTTTATACTTCTAGGGTTAATTTGGGATTACAGCTAAACAAGTTTCACATTTGTAAATACTATACACAACACAGTTGAGCACCAATTTTATTCCCTACTAGTGCTACCAGCAAATACATATAAGGACCTCGGGAACAAGATGTCTTGGACAATCCCACACCTTGCCCCAGGTCAGCAACCAAAGGGATGTGGGTGGGCTAAGACTGCAAGCAGAAAGACTTGCTGACCTAGGGAAAGGTGTGGGATCATCCGAGACAGTTACTTGCTCTCACTGTGTCTCCCGCTCTCTAACAGCTTCATAACTGGTCATCCGCCTTCATACAATCTATCTTCTCTCTGCTGTCAGAATACATTTTCTACAAAGGCAGAGCTGATCAGGCTATTTCCCTGCTTAAGACCTTTTGTGGTGGCTTCCTATGGCTTTCAGGATGAAGTTCAGGTTGTTAAACATAACATACAAGTCCCTCGTGGTCTACACCTAACAACCTCCATATCCCCATTTCCAGTTGCTCACCTATGTGTCCTTTAAGTCTGCCACATATAAAACTATATACTGTTGCATATTCCAATGAGTCTGTACTTGCTATTCCTTTTTTTGAACTGGAATGCCTTTTCCTTCATTCATGTACTTAAATGTTATTCAATACTCAGCTTAGTTATCACCTCTTCTGGGAAGCCTTCCTGGATATTCCATGTTGATATAGCAGTACTCTTTGTGTGTTACACCAAAATGGCTTATATCCAGGGACTGACACATGGTAGGAACTCAAAGGTTGCTGAATGAAC